TTTGATTTCGAGATGGATCGATCTCGATTCAATTTCAAGTGGGTCAGCTCGAAATCGAATATATCGAGCAATGAACCGATTTCAAGCTACACTAAATCTATTTGAGTTGACCTCAACTCGACTTAAAATCAGATCATTAACATCACTATTTGGAAGTCATTATAAAGGAGACTCTTTATTTGTTTGCATGCAAAACTTTGAAAAGAAATTTACACCTTTGGAGCTCATCTTTATGCATAAAAATATATTCCTTAATGAAGATTGGAGTCATCTCTCTTGTTGTCAACCCTTAAACCCAAGTGAGAGGACTTTAAGGTGTACATTGGATGATTGGAGATGCTATGAAGCGGGATTTTTCCTTAAGTCAACTATATAGGTGTATACAATATCATATCGAGTCATCTTTCTTGTTTTAATTATCTTAGATGCTATTTTGTCTCATTATTGGCCAAATGACGTGTGTTTGAGTCACCCTGTCATCTTCTTGTCTGCATCGTATTCCCACTCAAGTTGAAACATAGAAGTCAGTTATGTTTAACTTGGATTTGAAGTCATCAAACAAAGAACGAGGAAGATTTTGGTGAGAATATTCGTCAATTAACCACTGGAGAGCACAAGATGAACACAAATTTTCCTAGACTCATTCTTTTCCTTAATGAACTGTTTGTCAATTTCTACATGTTTGGTGCAATCATGCTGAACTGAATTGTGAGTAATGTTGATGACAACCTTACTATCATAAAATAGCTGCAGCTGGATGGAGGTTGGCACACAAAGCTTGCAAAAGCTTCACAGATCTTAAAAATATGATATTTAATGTATTATTTAAGTCAATGTGCATACGATTAACAAAATAATCTTTTCTCCATCAAAATAATTCAAAAAAGGCTTTCTGAAAAATTTAAAGATCACAGTAGTTTTACTATTCCTTGTGTTATTGGCGAAAGATTTTTCAGAAAAGTTTAATGTGATTTGGGAGCCACTATTAATCTTATGCCTCTATCGATTTTTAGAATGTTAGGTTTAGGAAGAATTTCACCAACTACTGTAACTATTCAGTTAGTTGATCGTTCGATAACTTAAAGGAGTTATAGAAGATGTTTTGGTAAATGTTGATAATGTTGATAAATTTATCTTACCTATGGATTTTATTGTGTTATATATGGAGGAAGATAAAAAAATTCCTATCATAATTTGTTTGCTTGACTAATACAGCTAGGCTTAGGGCTGTCAAAAAAGCTCGTTGTTCGCAAACAGTTCGTGTTCGATTCGTCAGAGCGTTTGTGTTCGATTCGTTCGATAAGCAAACGAGACGAACACGAACAATTTTTTTTCGTTCGGTTTGCTAAACGAACCAAACACGAACAGTGATGCGTTCGTTCGTGTTCGAATTGTTATTGTTCGAATATATATATATAT